GAGCGCTGTGGGTGTGCTCTTCACACCCCATTGTAAGAACAAGGAGCTGAGCGCCCAGGAATGTGCACTTGTGACAGGGATCCAAATCGTTTCTGATGCAGGTCGCCCGAGGACCGCACACGAAGAAACGGCGCCACCCCAAAAGTCTGGGGCAGAGGAGGGGGGCTGGGTGTGCTCACATGACACCCCTTCAGCAAGTCCCCCAAACCCTCTGTGAAAGGGGTGGCGGGCTGGCGTCCAGGACTGTGCGGGGTGTTAGAGGCCCTTTGGACTGAGTCGCTGGCTTCTCCTAGCCCCAGGCACCTGTGGTGACGGAGTCCACACCTGGGAGACCCCTCCCCAAAAGGCCACCTCTGTGGCCACAAACGAGCGCGGACCCTGAGGAAGGCCAGGTTCTGGCACATTCTCTGCTATCACTCGCTGTCCCTGGCTGCGTGGCCTGCGGGAGGCCCCCTCCAGTGTGCAGGTGACCTCAGGGACCACCGGGCAGCTGTCAGCAGGGCAGTGCCACTGGCCTGGCTCAGCTCAGCACCCCAGCCAGAGGGTGAGGATGGGGCGGGCACAGCCATGTCCCCCTCTCCCTTCTCCCTTCACGCCTGGGACGCCTGCGGTAGGGCGAGACCCGGCTGAGTGCCTGCGAGGCAGGATGATAAATATATGTTGGGGTTCAGAGCTGGCGCAGTCAATAATTTGGGACTTACCTGGGAGAGGAGGCAGCAGGCACCCACCATTTGGGCCAGCTCGGGCAGACTGCGGTGGGTGGGCGGGGCAGGCCTGGGGGCCGTGGGTAAGAGGCAGAGGTGGGGAGCCCCGGCTGGCAGTGCTGACTCCGCAGAGCCCAGGGCCCACGCCTGCTGACGGTGCACTTCTCAGCTGGCCACTCGGCGGCCGTGGGTAAGAGGCAGAGGTGGGGAGCCCTGCCGCCTGGCAGTGCTGACTCCGCAGAGCCCAGGACCCGCGCCTGCTGATGGTGCACTTCCCAGCCGGCCACTCGGAGGCCTGAGCGCTCTCCTGGGGCGGCTGAGACAGGGTGGGCCGGCCAGCTCTGCCCTTCATGAAGGAAGAAGCAGGTGTGCAGGCAAAGGCAGGAGGCCGAGGGCAGAGGAAGCCCCTGCCAGCGACTCCAGGGCCGTCGGGGGATGCTTTGGGGGCATCGGGCCGACTGCATGTAGCGGCAGGTGGAAATCCAGGGCAGAGGTCACTGACCGGTGGGGGGCCTGCTGGGGGAGAAGCCCCCCCTCCCCGCATTGCAGTGGGTGGGAGCCAAGGGGGAGACTCAAGGCACAATGAAGAACCCCTCAGAACTGGCTAGCTCAACCCTCGTTTTCACCCAGGAAGCAGTTCAGAGGGTCAAGGGCATGCAGCAAGGACGAGCCTGGCTGGGCTGAGGCTAGACTAGGTCCTGAGCCTCCGAGCAGGTGGGAACTGGGGGAGGGGGCGGGACTCGCCAAGGCTGACCCCCAGCCATTGATGTCAGGGTCTTTTGCGTTCTTGTATAAAAATGCAGGCTCCTGGGGCCCACAGAGATAGACTCGCTGGGGTGCTTTTTATGTCTCCAATTTGAGAACCTCTGCTGTAGAGGTTGGGGGTGAAGTTGGAGGTCTGGGTTCAGACCCTGTCTTTGGCTTTAGGCTATGACCTTCCCCCTAGAATCCTGGGTCTCCATCTGTGAAATGGGTCCATGAGGCTTCACATGAAGTGCCTACTTACACCCTAGAATCCTGGGTCTCCATCTGTGAAATGGGTCCATTTCATGAGGCTTCACATGAAGTGCTTACTTACATGGAGCTGGCCCACGGAGGGGGCTCTGTCACCAGGACCCAGACACTGGTCACTGACCAGCTCAGGGACAGTCGCATGTTCTGGCCACGTCTTGGTGGGTGGAGGGCAGGTCCCGGCAGCAGCTGACGTGCCGGGGGACGGTCTGCAGGGGAGGCTGTGCTCAGCTTGTCACGAGGACTGTTTGGTGCCTGTCCCTCGGCCTGCCAGAGCCCGGGCCTCACAGCCTTCATGAAACCTGGCCTCAAGCCCAGCCACCGGATGTCCCAGGGTGCAGAGAGGGCCTGTGGTTTCTGGGGAGAGGGAGGCGGCGCAGGGAGGAGTGAACTCGGGCACGTAGGCCCCTGTGGGCTTGCGGGTCAGAGTGAACAGGAGACCACATGCTGGGGGGCGGGGGCCAGGAGCTGGGCGCCAGGAAGGAGGCATCCCTCAGGGGACCTCAGTCACCAGGTGACCGGGGCAGAGTGTAAGGGCACCGGGGGCCGCCCTGGGCTGTCCTGAAACGCCTAGGGGGACTCTGGGCTCAGATCCTGCAGTGAGCATCCTGAGTGGCCAGGGTTGGGGCTGGTGACAGACGGCACAGTCCCCTGTCCTGTCTACCAAGCGGCAGAGGGGGGTGCCTCCATGCCGCTCACGCTGAGCTTTTATTTGCTAGTCAGGAAGGTGGGTCAGGAGACTCATTGCTTTGGATTCAGAAAGTCGAGAGCAGAATGTTCCCTGGAGATGCATATGCAGAGTTAGAAGCGGCGCTGTGGGCTGAAGTCTCTCTAGTGCTCAGACCCCAGGCCCCACTTTAGTGGCATCAGTGTCCCCCCCCGCGGGGATTCCAATACACTGACAGGTTGGAGAGCCACTGCCCCGCGGCTGCGTGCGAATGAGGCCGCTGGGGCGCCCCCTGGGAGGCTTGTGGGGGGAGAAGGCCCAGGTGTTTGTGGACAGGTGCCTCCTGGGTGGAGAACCAACGGTCACGGTCACGTCAGGGCGAGGGGACGCCCCTGCCGCCTGGTATCACGTGCCTGGGCCGGAGAGTGCCTGCAGTGTGACCTTGAGCTGAGCCCAGGCTCTTGGCAGCTGCGCTGAAAGTCATAGCTCATTAACCCCGTGCCCGAGGCGAGGGCCACATTGGTCCTGAGGGCGCGGAGCCAGAGGGACGGCTCACAGGCGGCACCCCGAGCTGCTTCTGGGCCGCCAGTCGCCTCCCCTCCACCTCGTTGGATCACAGAGCATTTGCGGCCTCTCAGTGCAGGGACAATCCTGGCGCAGGGAACACCAGGGTCTGCGGAGAATGTCGCCGTGACCCTGGGCAAGTGGTCTCTCTTCTCTGGCCTTTGTCCTTCTTTGAAGACAGTGCGTGGCCAGCACCTGGGCTCTGCAAGTCGGTTGTGATGTCTCCAAGATGCCTTGTCAGGCTCCTACTAGATGTGAGAAGGTAAAACCACGCCACAGGAAAGGGGAAACTGAGGCCGAGGGGGCTAAGTTTCGTGGAGCCAGGGTGCAAGGTCAAAATCTCGTGCAGCCAGTTACCCTCAAGCTCCCCCCAGCAGCAGGAAAGCATGGTGCCCGCTTCATGCACACAGGCCTGTGCACAAACCCGAACAATACAGAAAAAGGTCAAAATCTCGTGCAGCCAGTTACCCTCAAGCTCGCCCCAGCAGCAGGAAAGCATGGTGCCCCGCTTCATGCACACAGGCCTGTGCACAAACGCAAGCAATACAGAACCGCAAACGCCCAGGAACATGCCAGGAGCACACCCAAACTCTCCCTGGCCCTTTCCTCCCTCCCTCCCCGGCCCCACTGACACCTGACTGAAGCTGCCAGCTCCTGGCAGGAACCGCAGTCCAACCTCAGTTACACGCAGTCTTTATTCTCCCCCCAGAACTTACCTTCACTCCCGTCAGGGGTCACCCGCTGGGGCCTTGAGAAAGGTGCTCGCAGTTCTCCTTCCTGAGACCCAGAGTTCCAAAGCGGGTGGGTTTTCGAACCCCAGTGGGCGGGGTGCAGTGGCGGAGTGGGGGCTGGTTCACACTTGTTAGGGTCCCCCCAGGTGACGATGAGGCAGGGGTGACCAGGACAGAGGCACCCATGTCTTCCACTGCTGGGGAAAGTATAGTCCCCGGGCTGACCTCTGCCCTTTGTCCGGGCCCCGCTGGTGAGGCCAGATGGCCAGCATTCAGCAAACAGTGGGTGGTAGGGAAGGGTAGACGTGACAGAGAGACTCCAGACTGAAGATAAAGCCCGCTCACCTTGGGGGTCCCCTGGCCTGGCCCTACACCTCCATCAAGGCCCCAGGCTCAGGGCAGCCTTCCAGGGGGGCCGTGGAGCCTGCAGTGACTGTTGTTGCTAAGCCGGAGAAAAGCCCCTCTCCTGGCTGTGAGCGAGGGGGCTGCTGCTCTGATGTCACCAGAAAGCGGCTCCCGTCAGGCCTCGGAAGCTATTCTCAGTTAGAGAACACACCTCCGCCTGGTAGAAGTGTCTAGACTGCAGCAGGCTTTTTGTAAATGACAGAATTGTCATGTGCTGGCAGCTGGGTGAGTACTCGGTGGGGGGCACCCTCCCTCCCTGGTGAGCCTTGTCAATAGCCTTATGCTAACAGCAGTGCCCACAGCCCATGAACTGACCTGACCTGCCACTGAAGCGACAGACAGCAGTGGGTGCGTCCTGTCGAGCTGCCACCGAGTCCCAGGCCATTTCGGAGGCAGTTCTGCGGCAGCTGGATGACCTGGGTTCCGGTCCCGCCCGGCCGCTTACTGGCCATGGGGCCTGGGGAACTCCCGTTGCTTCTCTTGGCCTCTGGGTGGACTTCCATGAAACCAGGACAACGGTAAAAGGACCTGGCCCCAGACGCGGTGTTGCCCATGATGCAGTGAGAGGCACTCTCTGAAGATGTTCCATTCTTCCAACTCGCCCACAAACAACGGAGACCCATCTCCAGGTTGAAGGACTTCGGCGCTCACTCAGGAACAGAAGCAGCATTTGAGCCACTATCTGGTCCACTGTGAAGTGCACGGTCAATTCTGGAGCTCTGCTGCCCCCTAGGGTTTGGGGTGGGAATCAGACCCAATGCAGGTCAGTGGGGCTCCCCACCTGGGAACCTGGCACCCACCTGGGAAACCGGCCGGCACCATCCCACTGGGGGGCCATCCTCCACCATCTGTTTCTTTCTGTGTCTTTTCCTTGAGGCCTTGGGCAAGTCGGTGCAGCCTCGCTGAGCCTCAGTTCCTGCATCTGTCAAATGGGTTAACAGGCATAGCATCCACTCTGCAGAGTAGCATGAGGGTTACATGATGTGTTTTTTTGTTTTGTTTGTTTTTAATATATTTTATTGATTTTTTACAGAGAGGAAGGGAGAGGGATAGAGAGTTAGAAACATCGACGAGAGAGAAACATCGATCAGCTGCCTCCTGCACACCCCCTACTAGGGATGTGCCCGCAACCAAGGTACATGCCCTTGACTGGAATCGAACCCGGGACCCTTCGGTCCGTAGGCCAATGCTCTATCCACTGAACAAAACCAGTCAGGGCATGATGTGTTTTTTTAGAGGCACCGACCCCACCACCAGGGTGGGTGCCATCTTCACCTCCTGGATGAGGCAGCCCCTCCAGGAGCAAGGACTTCCAAGGGGGCCCAGGCCGGTTTTCTGGTCTTCCTCCGGGTCTTCCCACAGACCCCCCGAGCTTCATCTCAGCACAGGTCCTCTGGGGACTTGCCTTGGCTGTCCGTGTGAAAAGGTCCCTCGGTGGATTCTGAGGCTCTGCTGATGTCCTGGCTGGGAGCAGGTACCGGGGGAACTGGGGATGCTCCCCTCCCGGGCCCCCACCCCCCATTATGGAGTGACTCTGCACGGTGACGCACCGGCTGGTGACCTGATCCAGGCGTTGCCCATGTGTTTCCCACTGTGATGGACACCACACTCGGCGGACCTCACCGCAGGACCAGGGCCTCTTGCCGGCTCCAGGAGGGGTGACGTGACCCCTAAAGTGCAGCCTTGCCCTGTCCCCAGGCACTTGGGTGCAGGGAGGGGGACCTGGCGCCCTCCAGTCTGATGGCTCTCAGTTAACACAGGGCTGCTCACTCCATTTCTGACCCCATAACCTCCCTGCTGGACCCTCCTCAGGTGATGCAAGGGGAGGAGCCCCAAAACGATTCACTGAAGGGGAAGCTTGCTGGGGGCTGGGGGGCAGAGGAGACAGTGCGCAGCTAGTTTCATTGAAAGGAAGGCCTACAATGAACGCCCCTCACAAGTTTCCCTTCTCTGCCCACTCAGCCTCCTTTCTGGAACATCCTTCTCCGCTGTCTGGGACGCCCAGCAGCCTCTCCCGTGTCTGACATGCAGGGGGGGAGCAGGAGCAGGAGCGGGTGCAGCTCCAGCGGGGCAATGAGTGCTCTGAGCCATGCCCCAGGGAAAGCCGGGGAAGCCGTGCAGGCAGCTGAGGAGCAGGGGGCCGGAGGCCCCAACTGGGGCATGTTAGGCCATCCTATCGGTCATCGGACCAGGGAACCCCGGCATGGAGGCCACACCCGCCTGCAGGGAGAAGGGACCTGGAATCTTCCACCAGCAGTGGCTATAATTAGGGTTCAGCCGAGGTCCCTGGACAAATGAGTTCAGTCTTCCTGGCCAAGGAGCAGTCTGCAGTGTTGTGCGCTTGGCGGGAGCGCGGGCCTGCCTGAGCGGTGTCTTTAGTCCCCGGAAGAATCGGTGTCTCATACGCAGATGATGAACGGAAACAAAACCTCGCTGTTTGTGTGGGCACCGTGGTATATCGGAAAGTAATCCATGTACGAGCACATTTCCTATGTTAGGTGTTTGAAACGTTGAAGAGAGTCCGACATCATCTAACAGGAAGACTGACAGGAGGAGACAGATGGCTCTCCCCACGGGGGCTCCTCTGGCCTCCGGTTCCCTGGAATCTACGCTTTCACCGCAAAACTTCTCCTCAAGGATTCCGGATATTTGATTGGAAAGTAAACAGGGAAAGGATTCAAGATGGGCAGTCGCGGCAGGAGGACATGTACTAAGCTCTCTGTGCTCATGAGCACTTATGTATGCGATGATACAGTCACAGAGCACGATTTAGGTTCAGTATCTGCGCGTGAAGAATGCTTGGTGTAAACATCACAGACGGGCATTAGCCCTCTTATCAAGAAGTTGGAGGGGGCATTCCTAGGGCTGGCACACAAATTCAGCCAGTGGGGGCTCCAGGCTGGCATTTCTGAAATTCTTGGGGCCTTCCCCTCATGGCTGCAATGTGGCTGCAGCAGCACCAGACATCACATTGTCTCTTGACAATATTCACATCAGGAAGGAGGCAAAGAGAAAATGTTCTCTTCCTTCATCAGGGGCCAAATCTTACCACACTGTTTCTGCAGTGTATGGCAGACTCGCTAGCCATGCCTGCTTCAACCTCTCATAGTTAGTCTATATCCTGGAGCTAGGTCCGGCTGCCAGAACAGACTCCGGTTCTACTCGTAAGAATGAAGGAGAAAGGGCTGCTAAGCAGGCACCCCAGGTGCAAGCTGCCCTGGCGATGGGGGGTGAGCCCGCCCTCATTTCCACGGGAACAGGAGC